CATACAAAATTTACTTCAGTCTTGCTAACGTCAATAAAAAAAAAGGTCTAAGAAACTAACCTGGCATAATCCCAGCAGGAATGTTTCTATGAACATTAATATAACCACACAGATTTAGGTAAATAATATAAACTTGCAGTCTGTATTGATGAGGTGATAAAAGCCCATTTCCTATAAATTATAATGAGTTCTATTAGCCTTCAACGTGCAGAAACCCAAAGGTTCCCAGCTTACTGCAGAAGGTAATAACTTTCTACAGATGGCTCTTTTCAATTGAAGAACAATATCAGGTTACTGGTATGAACACACTGACCTGACAGTTGGGCACAGCCTTAAAAGTTTACTTTAAGAATGTTTGGTAAATATACAAGATTTAGTGAGGAGGTCCTGCTCCACCAGGGCACTAATCAGCAACAAAACATGCCGTTGATCTGAACCAGTATTTCTCATGCAGCACTGCAGCCATTCCTGAAACAGACCAACTACTGTATTAACTAAATTCTCCTGTGGTATTTGCAAAGTTCAACGTCAGTACAATTGGCTAAAATGTGACTTTGTAAGTGATGTTTCAGCAAGCACTTCAGCACGAAGAATTTCTGAGATACATAACCCAAAGCCTGAGTAAATCAGAGTAGTGACACAAAATCTAAGCTATATTTTACTGAAGCTGAATGACCATGGAGAGGGCTGGGAGCTCAAGCAATTCAAGTCTGATCTCACCCAGGTCAACATACTTCCCAATTCCGATGAGTTTGCCTTCAGTTCAGTGATTTGTTATCTCACAACCAGCTTATTGAATACCTGGTTTCCATTTGGCAATTAAAAATATATTTAAGACACTTATAATGGATGTTCAACAAATATTAGGTGAACATTCTAGTACGTTCAGCAGAATGTTCATCCCCAGGGAAATCATGGCATAAACTGGATGAAGGCAGCAACAATGACAAATTGGTATGACATTAATTCTAGTAGATAATGGTAGATAGTAAAAGATAGTAATAGGATGAACAGTACAGAAGACAACACTATGAAAGATGTTCAAAGATTCAGATTAAAAGGCACCAATTGTCCAAGATAAAAAAAACAACTGGAACACTAAAAGCAAACAAAACTTACAGGCGACAAGCTACAATGAAAGTGGCAGTGACCCTGACAGTGGAACACATTTCTTTGGGGAAAAACAAACTAGCAAGCAGCTGGCTTTATATAGGGCACGGGGAGTGGGGGATGTCACATGGGTAATGTCCTGACCTTATGTCATATTAAAGGAAAGTCTCTACAGTGATTTATTTCCCCTGGCAGAACTCACCTATTAGCACCAGCATGAACCGGAGACTCCAGTGGTGTCTGGAGGATGGCAAAAAAAGTGCTGAAACGTAGGACATGACTAAACAACATTGTTAAGTGGGATCATTGAAAAGTTGATGGCTCTGTTATTGCTGGAGACATACCCAGTTTAGAACATGAAACCTCACAATAATTACCCAGTATCTGTGGCTATATGTCACATTCACACAGCGTAACCACTTGAGCTGAATGCTCATGAAACCCTGCAATAGTGAAACCCTACAACTCTTCAAAGCAAAAACAGAATATCCCAATTCTACATGCAACCTAGACAGTGCGTCCATTCAATCATAACGTTCATGGCTGGCCAGAAGAGACACTCAAATTGCTGTTGATGACAGCACAGCCAACCTGGCAGGATCTGGAAGGGCAGACCAGTCACAGAAGTCATGTTTTTCTTGCATAAGGTGCCAAGATCACAATGTACTGATGAAGAAGATGCTTTGGCCAGTTTAACCTCATACTTTCACAATATAAACTCAACCATCCCATCTTTACAATGTCAAGATGTGTCTTAAATGAGTATGTACAGGGTGACCAAAAACTACTTCATTAAGTCTTAAGGAAATGATGATTTTTTTAGAAAATAGGGTAGTTATCACGACTTTTTGGTCACCCTGTATATATGTACTTTAAATAATATTGCTGATATCCACACTGCTGGATATTAGAACTACTTCATTGTGCTTATAGACTTTTAAGCACAATGAAGTAGTTCTAAATACTGGAATGTACAGTAGATGTACAGTAGGGCTGATGGACCACTTCATATTAAAGGTAGTGATATTTTGATACAAATATTTTAAGCATCTGTTCTTGTAAAAACTGAAAGCAATTACATTTCTTTGGTAAATGAAGTAATTATTTGAGGCAAAATGGGAGCTTAACAATCAATCAGCACAGAAGTTTTACACTGCTTCTGGAAAACGAATACTAAACAAATGAAGAAAAAGCAGTTTATTCTATCCAGGTATTTCCTTGCTGTACAATAAATCATAACATTTCAAATAAATTGTAACATTTCATGGGCAATTTAATCAAAAAATGAAAATAAATCAGCAAGCCTGCTGAAAATGAAAAGGAACGATAGATTTTACTTTTTTTTTTAACGTCAAACAAAATACTGTATGCCAAGAAATGATCTGATAACAGTGTGTGTCCACAACCACAAGGGGGCTAGCCGGTGGATATCAGCAATATTATTTAAAGTACATATATACAGGGTGACCAAAAAGTCATGATAACTACCCTATTATTTTAAAAAATCCTCATTTCTTTAAGACGTATTAGACATTGTAATGGTATCACGACTTTTGGTCACCTTGTACCTACTCATTTAGGAAACTTCTCGATGTTGTAAAGAAGGGATGGTTGGGTTTGTATTGTGAAAGGATGAGGTTAAACTGGCCAAAGCATCTTCCTCATCAGTACATTGGGATCTTGGCATTGAATGCAAGAGAAACATGACTCCAGTGACTGGTCTGCCCTTCCAGGTCAGGCTGACGAGCCAGGCTGACTGTGCTGCTATCAGCAGTGCCGTGGAATACTGCAGACCCGTCTGACACAGGAACTGGACTACAGGGACAGCCACAGTTCAGCTCCCTTCCACACATCCCACCCCAGGAGGATACCCGAAGGTGCGATATATGCATTTGATTTTAAGAAATAAAATTTTAAATGGATCTACTGCAAAGATATTTTTGAATGGAGAACAAGTATGACTTTACAAATTAAACTTAAGTTAATTTCCCTGTAATATGCTTTAAAATTGCAAAATAATAACGACCTCCTGTTCAGCTATTTTTCTGAAGTAATACCATCACAATAATGTTTCACATTCCAAAGTAAATGCAGAATAACTTTTATAACTGTATGGTTCTCAGTTTACTGTGGTTACAATATAGATTAAAAAAATAAGATTGTAGGTAACATATTAAAAGCTCCTGGCTGCCTAGTCATTGAGATTCTAATAAAAAAAACCTCAAATTTCTCTCATGGTTTAAGATATCAGCCTAACGCTTCAATTAAGTTATAAGCTTATTAATTACCTCGACTATCATTATTTATAATGGTAGCTATCACCTTGGACAATCATGGTTGAACATGTAACAACACTGCGATTGTCTATGTCCTTTGCAGAGTCACAAAATCACTGATGTTGGCTGGTTGAATGCCTATTCAATTTTAATTGAATCCTCCAGGTCTCCGCATTGATTCAGTCCTCTGCTGGTGCAACTGTCAAAACAGTTGCAACTCTTCTTTAGAAGTTTGGACAGTTTCTAATTTTAATTTTTAAGCCATGATCCCTTTTTGCTTTGTAGGTACAAGATATAACATCAACCAGCGCTTGACATTGCCAGATTCTGTTTTTGCACCAACTTGATTTGTGCCAAAGCAATCCCGAGGGTAGTTTAATTCCTTGATACACAATATTGTTTTGTTTACGATTACAACATTGAGCAATTAATAGCACCCTTCACATGGGGTAGCGTCTCGGTGTGCTTACATCTGAATGATGGCAATTCTCATGCACTGCTTATTGTGGCTGAAGCACAAATTGGTCATTCACAAATACCAGTGATAATTTTCACTCGAGCTGTTAATGAGTTGGAGAGGTACAAATATCAATAAATATCAAATATCAATATCATACTGACTTGCGAGATGCAGCCAATATAAAATCAAAAAAAATCTATTCAGCAGTGAGTAAGTAAAGCCTCAAATTTAGAGACAACAGAGAAAGATCCAATTACAGTGATATCCAAATTTTGAAATTTGGATTTAACATTTCATCCGTGCCGTTTAATCTTGCATTCATCTAGGAAAGCTGGCCAGAAAAAGTAGTCATTTGCAATTTCAAAACAATTGCAGATGCGCTGCCAACTCTGTAAATCTCACCCTACAGTATAAACGGTTTCCAGCTGAAGGCATCTTTGTGTTTGTTACCCTTACAACATAAATACACAATTCCATCCCCATCACAGCATACATTCAAGCTGTGCTTCCAAGGAGGGGATCAAGCATTTTCATTCTACCAGCCTGGTATCAGGACAACTTTATTCTGCAAAGGACAACAACATTTTCTATCCAACCGTGGATAAAATTGGAATCCTAAATGCAATGAATAATAATAATCATAACTCTTGCATTTGACATAGCACCTTATCACGTCTTTGAGACGTCTCAAAGCGCTTCACGGAATATACTGTCAAGTGAATTGACTGTATATTTTGTGGGTGATACAAAATATACAGTCAATTCACTTTACCGTATATTCTGTGAAGTGCTTTGAGACGTCTCAATGACATGATAAGGTCATAATTGTAATTCTAGAATGTGTGGAAGTGTAAAAGATCGTGGAGTTCACTCTCAAAAAGTCTACTCATTTGTGCATTATGATTATCAGACATGCCTAACATTGTATTGCGCCAATATTACTGAATTCCTGAGGTTATTTCCCTTGACAAATCCAAGAGGTAACAAAAACATTAACGCTTAAAGTTTGAAACCCAAATGGGCTTGAGTCAGCAACAGTGCTTATCTTATATGATGGTAAAGAATAGTTTAAGTTGACATTGCTGACAGTCCCTTTAGCTCATATTCTACTCGAAGATTTTAAAAAAAAGCAGTGTATGTAGTGTAAGACATACCTTGAGGGGCGATTGGCAAAGGAATCGTGTGAACTTTGTTCAGCGAATTCAGCGTCAGCAGAACGAGAAAAAAAGAAATAAAAGGACAAAATGTTATTCAGTTAGCTCTTGCAATAATAACTCATTTAATAATAATGCAGATCACCATATTAACAAGTTGTGTAACTATACTCATTTTACTGGGCACAAGGTAACTCACTTACGCCATCTAATATTATTCTAATACAACTGGGCTTTTTCACCACAATATTATACAGTACTTTAAGCAGATCATTCATTATTTCCCCGAAACAGTTTAACAAGATATCATTACAAATAGAGTGTTTGTAAGCCTTAGTTTGTAGGGGAGGGTGGGGGGGGAGTGGGGGAGAAGAGGGGAAAGAGATCAGCCAAAGAGTTGTGCTTCATTTGTCACAATTATATCATATGCAAGCGAGGCAATTTCCTGTTTCAACATCATTTCATTGCTCTTTTTAAACAAACTAGCTCAAGTTGGTAAACACTTATTAAAAAAATTACAGAACAAGAATAGGCCCTTCATTCCACAGCCCTATCCGCTGCAGACATTTTGCCACTCCTCCCTCCCTGCTTGCAAACTCAAACTGCTTAAAGATGTCCCACTAAGTAAATTTAATTGTTAGTCTACAACTGTCCTTTTCCTCCAATACTTTTCTCCAGCAATGTCTTTTGCAAAGAGGTCGGTTAATAGATCTTCAACTACTTTTGTTGGGAGTTTGCTCCTTTTCATCTATGATCCATCATTTTAAAGAACTGGAACATGTACTCCTCAATAGAGACACTGCCCTTTTAGGATACAGAGCAGACTCAATATAACCAGATTTAGATGAATTTCATATGAAAAAGATAAAACAAGTAAGCAATACACATAGTAATTTAAAAAGTTTTGAATCAATCAATTCATGAAGTATATATTCAGATATATTTTGTAGTGTTGTATTTCAACTACTAAACCCACTGTTGGGAGATTCAGTGTTCTTTTTAATATAAAAACAGAAGTTGAAAGTTGCACTGCTGAGATCTTGGGTCTGCTTTTTTGGAGGAACGGGAGAGAAAAAGAAAGAGAGAAGGGGGACATATTAGACTTTTCTTTAAAATATCCACCTTTCTGATTTTGCAAGTGACAACCAATAAAATAATTGACATTACAATGGATGGCAATACTGACCAACCGTGCATGCCTTACCAACTAGAAGGAGGGGAAAAAAATAGGAGTTGTTTCCATGAGGAATAGGTGCAATTTACTCAGAAACTGTAATGCCAAAGAAGAAACTGAAGTAAATAAGCAACAATATAATCACTCAAAATGAACTGCAATAAAGCATGAGTGAAATAATCCGGGGAATGCAAGGGCAGGAAGGACAACCCCAAAAGACAGTCACACACCTTTCACCAATTGAGATAGCCCACACCAGCTCACCACAACACATATCTGTTGTGATCGAAGGCATTTTTCGCCCTATATACAAATGTCAAGATGTTTTCCATAATAATAATTGTTGCATTTAATATAGTGCCTTATCATGTCTTTGAGACGTCTCAAAGCACTTGACAGAATATATTGTAAAGTAAATTGACTGTATTTTGTGGGTAAAATGTTTGTGCTTTCTTGCAACTTTTTTTGAAATCGAAGAGAACAAGGTAAAGCACAGTTTAGATATAGCACAGTTGTCTTTATAATAATATTCTTTGATTTGATATAGCTTATTATCACTTTGTTGAGACGTCTCAAAGCGCTTCATTCACAGTGTATAATGTAAAGTGTAGCGACTGTGTATTTGTTCGAAACTTACTGGAAGATTAACAACTTCTGCGTATCGCTACAATATTTAAGACCAACACTTCCAGTATCAATAACTTCCAATCCTAATATTGTTGTTGCTTATGGCTCTGGTTCCTTATCTCGGAGAACAAATACCGAACTTAAGACTCCAAATAAGAAAGGCCATTGTATCAGTTCTTTGTTTGAGAATAATATGAGCAAGGAAAAATATTCCTCTGCGGGTGACTGAGTTTATTTATGCACATATAAAAACAAAACTCAATATTTATTTCAATACCAGTGCAAAATGGTTTGTTTACAGTGGAGGCTTGAACCCAATCAAGAATATTCAGCTTTAATAGTTTACAGGAAATTAATCCTGTTACAGGATAGAAAATGTGCAGACTATCAAAGCGCTGAAGACAAGCAGGTATTTAACAAAGTTAAACTCAAGATGGTGATGTGATCAGCTAAAACTTCAGATTTAATTATCATACCCAGTTGAAATCAGAAGCTTCAACAGCATAACTTGTCCTTTACTGTAAACCATAGCGGTTCCAATTTTCCACAAATTAAGGACTTAAACATTTAGAACAAGCTACCTTTATACACTGTAAGCAAGGGAAACTTGCAATGCTGAAAGTCACATTTAAACTCTTGGAATCATTCGCCCGATAATTTATTTAAACAAAATCCTGGCGCCAGTGGAGTTCAAGTCTGTCATTAATTCTGACGTCAGTATACACCCAGGAGTTTACAAATTGTACTCCTTACTTGGCAGTCTGTGTATAACCCTTCAGGTCACCAAACTGTGCCAAAGACAGTTTTAAAAAAAGATTCCCAGGATTGTCTTCTGTGGTTTCTCTGAATTTTAGTAGTGTTTATAGAAAAGCCTGCTCTATTTTAACAAAGCACAGTAGTTACAAACACACTATCAAACATGAAAACATAACTCAACATCTGCTGCAAATAATTTCACTGCAGCACAAAGGTTACTGATCCACATACTGCCCTGTGACAGAAAGATTACAACCTCAACATAATATATCCCAGCTCACATTTCTTTAATAATTTATGGCAACTCCTCCTCTTTGATTGCAAAATAATTTTAAAGAAAACTAAAGACCATTGTCCAGGTAGTTTTATTGAAGACATCATTAGAGAGTGTGGCACATGCATGCCAATCTTGACCTTTAGAAAATCTTCCAAAGCCTTTACCAGACCTACTGCTGAGATATACTTAGACGTAACAGTCATAATACTTGCATTTGATATAATGCATTTCAGGTTGTCAAGACTCAAAGAACTTCACAGGTTTTACTGTAAAGTGTAGGCAAATGTGGCAACCTATTTACACACAGCAATGTTTCACAAACAACCATGCAATGCATGATCAATTTTATCTGGGAGTTTGTTGGCCAGGACACCAGGAGAAATTCCCTTCTATTTTCAAACAGTGCAATTGGATTTTTAACATTAAGCTGAACAGTCAAATAGAACCTCGGTTCAACACTTCATTCAAAGGACCTCTGACAATGCAGTACACCCAGCAATGCACTGAGGTGTCGCTAGATAGACTATGCATTCAAACCCTCCAACCAGATGTGGGGTTTGAACTCACAATCTTCTGACTCAATGGTTAGAGGCGAGAGTGCCTCGAAGTCAGGTTGACATCTCACAGTTTGGATTGCTATTCAAGTTTGCTATTCAGGATTGTGGTCCCTATTGGGGAGGAATGTCTCAACTTTGCTCACTTTTGTTTTTTCTCGTCTGCAATCAGTAGCATTATATATGATGCTGTGAATACATTTAAGAGTGGGTTATAGACCAGTCTGGCAAAGGCAAGATGGCATTTCCCTGCAATTCAAAGCAGGCAGTAAGTGCGGGAGTAATGGAGTTCAGGGGAGAGGCATTACTTGTTAGGAGGTGAATAAGAGAAGGTGCATTGAAATCTATGGGGTTTTGATAGGGAATTGAATGGGACTCGCGTGAATGTACAATGTAGGTGATTATATGTTTTATAACGATAAGACTTATGCGAGTTTTTCTGTACTGGTACATCCTTAATGTAACCAGCATCCGAATTAGGAATTGCCTTTGGTCAAATACTGTGCTCAATACCAATTTACTTTGCTTTGGTTGTTTATTTGTTTGTTTGTTGTGTGTTGCAATGCATTTGGAGTGGGTCTGGATGGTGCATTGAATAGTTTAAAACTGCACAAGTGCAAGTACTACATGAACAGCACTTTTGTCTCCACCTTAACTTGGAGACATAAGGACTGAATTGGCCATGTGCCAATTTCCTAACTGCTAAAACAGTGGAACCTTTTTATAGGAAACCTTGTCTGCTGCAAGAAAATGTCACAATGTCGGGAGAAGACTTATTGAGCATTACTAACAGTTTGATGAAACGAAGAAAGAACAAAGGTCAAGTTTAGCAATAGTAAACAGCTTAATTTCAAAAGCTACATTCACAAAATTGATTGAAGCAGGATTTGGGTGATTTAAAGACCCTCCAAATCAAAAAACATGTCAAATTCAGATGCGGGGGGTGGGGGGTGGGGGGGGGGGGGGGGGGGGGGGGGGGGGGGGGGGGGGGGGGGGGGGGGGGGGGGGGGGGGGGGGGGGGGGGGGGGGGGGGGGGGGGTGATGTGAGCTTGACTTTAAAATAACCAATTGCTACCCAAGAACATTATTTGCAATTAAATGTCTTAAAACGTTTGATAAAGAGGATTAATCAGTATCCATATGAAATAAGCACTTCATGGTAATAGTCTGCAAGGTTCCGTGATAAGCACTGAAATCTTTCTTATGGGCTACAAAAATGGGAGATTACCACAGATTTTCATTGTATGTTGGATCCTTTATTTCCATAAGGTTGTATAACTGAAATGTAAGATTTTTCCTTTAAACTATTTAAATCAAAGGAAATTGTGCTTAATTCAGGAACACAATTTTGACATTGTGCTTCTTCGTATACATCAAAGTCCTGTTCGGCTCATCTTAAGACGAGCCATGTACATTGTCATTATTAGAAATTGTGTCTCACTTTTACATTATATAGAGAGAGTATACATTATACCTTGAGCTAAATATGTCTTAAAACCTCAAATAACTGGATTATGGCCAGTCAGAAAGTGTTAAGGCTTTAGATCATTTTTCCAATTAAATATTACTTAACATGTGCAACAAGTCAGACCGAGTTGGAAGGTCTCAAGCGTTAATCGCTAGCAGTGCTTGTCGAGTTAGGTGA